CGAAGACTTGGCCACGTAACGAGCCCAACTCCCCCGAACGCCGCCGCCGCTCGCCATGGATGCCGGTGTGACCGAGAGCGGGCTAAACGTGACTCTCACCATTCGGCTGCTGATGCACGGGAAGGAAGTGGGAAGCATCATCGGCAAGAAAGGGGAGTCGGTTAAGCGGATCCGCGAGGAGAGCGGCGCGCGGATCAACATCTCGGAGGGGAACTGCCCGGAGCGCATCATCACGCTGACCGGGCCCACCAATGCCATCTTCAAGGCCTTCGCCATGATCATCGACAAGCTGGAGGAAGACATCAGCAGCTCCATGACCAACAGCACGGCCGCCAGCCGGCCCCCGGTCACCCTGCGGCTGGTGGTGCCCGCCACGCAGTGCGGCTCGCTCATCGGCAAGGGCGGCTGCAAGATCAAGGAGATCCGCGAGAGCACGGGCGCCCAGGTGCAGGTGGCGGGGGACATGCTGCCCAACTCCACCGAGCGGGCCATCACCATCGCGGGCGTGCCGCAGTCGGTCACCGAGTGCGTCAAGCAGATCTGCCTGGTCATGCTGGAGACGCTCTCCCAGTCCCCGCAAGGGCGGGTCATGACCATCCCGTACCAGCCCATGCCGGCCAGCTCCCCGGTCATCTGCGCGGGCGGCCAGGACCGCTGCAGCGACGCGGCCGGCTACCCGCACGCCACCCACGACCTGGAGGGGCCCCCGCTGGACGCCTACTCGATCCAGGGACAACACACCATCTCGCCGCTCGACCTGGCCAAGCTGAACCAGGTGGCAAGACAGCAGTCTCACTTTGCCATGATGCACGGCGGGACCGGATTCGCCGGAATTGACTCCAGCTCTCCCGAGGTGAAAGGCTATTGGGCAAGTTTGGATGCGTCCGCGCAAACCACCCATGAACTCACCATTCCAAATAACTTAATTGGCTGCATAATCGGGCGCCAGGGCGCCAACATTAACGAGATCCGCCAGATGTCCGGGGCCCAGATCAAAATCGCCAACCCGGTGGAGGGCTCCTCTGGCAGGCAGGTGACCATCACCGGCTCGGCGGCCAGCATCAGCCTGGCCCAGTATCTAATCAATGCCCGGCTCTCCTCTGAGAAGGGCATGGGGTGCAGCTAGAACGGCGTAGGTTCCCTCCGAGACCCCTTTCTGCTGTTTCCCATGATCCAACTGTGTAATTTCTGGTCAGTGATTCCAGGTTTTAAATAATTTGTAAGTGTTCAGTTTCTACACGACTTTATCATCCGCTAAGAATTTAAAAATCACACTCTCTGTTCAGCTGTTAATGCTGGGATCCATATTTAGTTTTATAAGCTTTTCCCTGTTTTTAGTTTTGTTTTGGGTTTTTTGGCTCATGAATTTTATTTCTGTTTGTCGATAAGAAATGTAAGAGTGGAATGTTAATAAATTTCGGTTTAGTTCTGTAATGTCAAGGATTTAAGAATTAAAAAAACGGATTGGTTAAAAAATGCTTCCTATTTGAAAAAGCTGGGAATCGCTATCTTGAACTCTTTGTTGGTGCTTTTTTCCTCCCTCGCTCGCTCCTTGTGGCGTGAGGTGTTTGGAGGGAGGAGGGTGAGGGTGAGGGTGAGGGGGGGCCCGTCCTCATGATTCGCGCAAGACCGTCCCACCTCGGCGCTAGGAGTCCGTCTCTGCCCCAACAAAGGAACATGGCAGGTCGAGCCTGCTCCGGGGTGTCTGCCGAGACGGGGGCGTTCTCCCCGCAGAGACGTCCCTCCGCGTCGCAGAGAGCGGCCTCTGCCCGTTTCTCGGGTAGGCACAGGAGGCTTTCTCAGACGGGAGCAGCGGGCCCGTTCAGTCGGGCCCGAGGAGCGGCCGGGCGTCCTCTCCCTTTAACCCGTCCCCCACCGCCACCTCACATGATAAACTTAGCCGGGACCAAAAAAACATCCAGAGGTGGGCGGAGCCGGGGGTG